ATCCTACAGTCTCGTCAGGAAAAAGCGATTAGTCTCCGACTTGGAAAGGGCTACAATTAGCTCCACTTTTCCCCCAGCATTTGAATGCACCGTTTGCTGGCAGAAAGGTTTTACTTAAAGTCAAAGAAACATTGGCTGAGCCTCATTATATAACCCAAGGCCATCAGAAACCAGTTTCAGTCAGGGAGATATGATTTATTACAAGAGTGAGGGGGCTTAAAGAATGGAGAGTACTGGAAAAGGTTATTGGGAAATACAGAAAAAGAATAATTGTACAGCAGGAAACCAGATGGTTTGGGTACACTCTTGAAGGTTGCTCGGTATGGATTACAAATGTGTAGGCTTTAAAAGGGGCTGCAGAAAATAGTGAGGAATTATGTACCCCTCGTACTCGAACGCTGCACAGCGATAAAAAACTGCTGCAGTTGACAGTTTGTCTGGTGATGGTGGTCAATATGAGGCCATTGGTCCCAAAGGACAGTTGCCAAAACTTGATACTGTAGTCAAATATTTAGCAGAAGGGGCTAATAAATGGGGAAATGCAACCATTGTATGGGAGGAAGGGAAGACCACTGGAAAATAAATGATCTGGCTCAAGGTTTAAAAAAAAAGGTATGGTGTTAAGACCCAGGGATTGGGAACATGAAATACAGAAATAGAAGGCAAGAAAACACAGTGCAGGCTCACAATGGCTCTGGGAGCAAAGATGTCTGTAGGAAGACCTCACCAACTGTTGAAAGGAATCCTACTAATCGGGAAATTGGTAGATCACTCCAGAAAGAGACAGATGGGGAGACTGAGTGTTGCTGAATAAGGTCAAGGAATATAGCACAGGCCAGGAATGTCACCAAGCCTGTTCTTCAGGGAGCCTCAGTGAACATATGCAAACTAGAAGACAAGGTAATAAAAGATGCCAAACAACACAAAATGCAAACCTGGGAGAGCATTTTGGTTACACAGAGGTGCAAGATAGGGGACAACCAGTCCAATCACATAGCTGTATAGGCACAGAAAAGATGCCTCTTGATGGGACCTGCAAGACTAAAACAAGGCTACACCTACGCTCGGTTCGCAACAAACAACTGCACCTCCCAGTCGCGAACCATTTCAACTCCCCCTCCCATTCCTCAGACGACATGTCCATCCTGGGCCTCCTGCAGTGCCACAACGATGCCACCACAGCAACTCATATTCCGCTTGGGAACCCTGCAGCCCAATGGTATCAATGTGGATTTCACAAGTTTCAAAATCTCCCCTCCCCCCCACCGCATCCCAAAACCAGTCCAGCTCGTCCCTGCCTCCCTAACCTGTTCTTCCTCCCACCTATCCCCTCCTCCCACCTCAAGCCGCACCTCCATCTCCTACCGACCAACCTCATCCCGCCCCCTTGACCTGTCCGTCCTCCCTGGACTGACCTATCCCCTTCCTAACTCCCTACCTACACTCACCTTTACTGGCTCCATCCCCGCCTCTTCGACCTGTTTGTTTCTTCTCCACCTATCCTCTCCTCTATCCCTCTTCTATCCACTTCCCACTCTCTCCCTATTTATTTCAAAATCCCCTTCCCCTCCCCCTTTTCTGATGAAGGGTCTAGGCCCGAAACGTCAGCCTCTCTGCTCCTATGATGCTGCTTGGCCTGCTGTGTTCATCCAGCCCTGCACCTTGTTATGGTACAACGTTTAGAAGGGAAAAAACAGGAGTCTAGGATAAGATATCACCCACAGCAGGAAGCGTGATTTTATAGAATCTCATCGTTTGTTAGCAACAAATACTTGGAAACGTGATTCAGTTGAAACTACAGCTGCATTTCTCAAGAGCTCCGCTCAAAAAGGGAAGTATTTCTTTACTCTCCTAAAAAGGGGCACCTAATGCAGTGGAGATAGTAGGAACTGCAGATGCTGGAGTCAGAGATAACACAGTGTGGAGTTGGAGGAACACAGCAGGCCAAGCAGCATCGGAGGAGCAGGAAAGCTGACATTTCGGGTCGGGGCCCTTCTTCATGCAAATGAAGTGGAGATGCTCTGGAAAGTAGATGGATATGACACCTCCAGGGTTTGATCCTTCTTTTAAAAAAAAAAATTGTGACTATCTCCAGGTGAAAGCAGACCTGCTGCGTCTTACTGGCACCAACGGGAGCAGCTTTCAGGCATCCTTGCGATGTAGGTTGGTGACTTTCTATGGGCTGGGAGCGGTGGATTTGAAAACATTGTCATGGATGGGCATAAGGCAGAATTTATAATTGGAAATCAGTCTTCTAGGACAATTAACTATATGATATTAGCAAACAACTAGAATGGATGGACTTTTGCTTTGTATCAGTTATCGTATTTAGTAAATGTTAGCCCTATTTCAAAATAGCACCTCACAGAAAGATGCACTGGCTTCCAAAACTGAAATGGGTGAATTGCAAAGTTCAGCTGAATAGGCTGGGTACCCAAAATGAGACCAGATGCCAGCCGGGTTCATGAGTTGAGAATGTTTATGAAAAATCCCAAGGTGG